ATGACGTATTGCTTTGATAACAGGATTGAACTACATTTCCTATCGGAAATAGATTCTCTATCATTAAGTGAGCTATGGAAAGACGAAAAGACTAGTGGAGCAGCCAAAGAAAGAGATTATATATGCATATAAGGATAAAGCAAATGGAAACGTAAGAATGACGCGAGAAGAAAGCCGAGGAGGGAGAGCGGCCTGGGCTAGAAACGTATAATTGCTCCCCCATTTCTTGATCTGTGTTTAGCGTTCATGTCTGTACCTGTCTGTTTAACGTAACACAGGTATTGTGTGCAGGTACTAAATGTGTGTACAATATGACGAAAAAATGTTTACGCTCTGCCTTGTCTACTTAGTCATCGAAATAATTGTCTCGAGTGACCTCTGAGCTTCGGTCATAAACTTAACTCGTCAAATTTAGAAAGAGACTCATTACAAGATACGCGGTCAGTGCTTGAAAGCGTCTGGTTAAAAGGGGCGCGAATAAATAATTTACCTCATCTCTATCGCCTTCCTTCTCATGCGTTTCTCTCTCCCCTCCTCTCTCCTCTCTCACTCTCTCTCTCTTCACTTTTCTCTCTCTCTCCGTTCTCTCCTCTCTCTCTCTCTCTCTCTCTCTCCTCCTCCTCACCCTCGCTCGCTTCTCTCTCTCTCCTCTCATCTCTCTCCTCTCTCATCTCTCTCCATCCTCCATCTCCATTCTGTCTCTGTTGTTTGTTTCTACATCCCTTCATCTCTCTCCTCCATTATCTCTTTCTTGCATATCTCTCCGACCATCCCCCATCCTCCTCCTCTCTTTGCCGCCCTCTCCCTCTCTTCCTCCTTTCTCTCCCTTCTCCCTCTTTATCGTGCGCCTCATGCAATCGTAGCGCCCGTGGCTCGCTGCATTAGGTTAAGCCCGTGACTCGCTGCTCTGACATAATCTATGATGCCTTGTATAACGCCGGCATAAATAACCATGGCACTCATCGGCCTGCGCATAGACACAGAGCGGACACGGGTATGATCATAGCAGTGTGGGAGCTGAGTGTACGCAGCGAGTGAATATGCATCTCCGATTGCCATGAATTCACATATAGTGAGATATCTATAACCATGTGAAACCATCAGGTCTGACTCCCCGCATTCACACAGTGACGATATGTCTAGTAGCTATAGAAAATAAACATCACAGCCTCCTCCCACGTAATTCAAACAGTGAAGATCTCTAGGTAACTATATGAAACCATCAGGTCTGTCCATGCGTTCCGCACGAGTGAAAAGAGGCTCCACTATGAGCTCGTTTATAGAAAACATCGACAGTGATCCATCCCGCGTATTCAAACAGCGAGATCTCTAGGTTAATCAGTTTTGCCTATTCATTCGCACTGCCTGGATCCTCACACAGTGTACGGACCTTCTAGCCAGCTCTGGGAAAATGTCTAGACATGCAAAACAGCCGCGAACACATGCAGAAGCAACGAGTGCGGTGAGCTAACAATACATTCCGCACAGTGAGATTTAATGTGGTCGAAATAGTCCCCCTAGCTGGAAACCACCCTTGCCAGTCGGCGAGCCGGTGTGGATGAACGGATGCAAAGGCGTCAGCACCATTATTTCTGTAGCGCATCCTTTACTGCGCATAAACACGTCGTCTGTTGTTTACTGTGCGACCATTCGAATAATTCAGTGAGGATGGGTGTCTATATACTATATATAATTGGAGTAATAATCTACGTACTCCTTGTCAGAGGCAGGCATTCACAAACGATACAGAATTGGACATGGATACAGTGATGGCTATAGCAAAAATGATTAAGCTGAAACAATACGGTGCTGCCGAATGTAGAGCATATATAATACATATAAATAAATATAAATAATATAATATATACATTACATATATAATACTATATAATGTTAATCTGAATCAACTACGCTGCTTCACACACGAGCTGCGCGCACGCACCCGAACGCACGCACGCACGCAAGCACACGCACACACACACACACACACAACACACACACACACACACACACACACAACACACACACACACACACACACACACCACACACACACATATATATAATATATATATTATATATAATATTATATATAATATTATATGCGTAATGGCGCAGCGCGTCACACGGGCATGAACTATACGGGTAAAATGTTAGTCCGCGTTGTTTAGTGTCAACAGCCGTAATTGCGACGTTTCACGCCCCGCCCCACCGTTCTACCCGCGTGCGCCGTGTGCCATGGCACTCCTTTATGTCACGATGACTGTTAACATCGTAGTAGAATCGTAGCTGTGCTGTCACCTAGATGGCGCTATGACCGTAGCTGCATTAGGAGCTCACTGGTGTACGTGAACGAGCCTTCATGACACAGGGGTACACTTGGTGCCCTTAATGCACATGCAGAGGAGCGTGTGGTTTGAGAGGGCAGGCCAAAAATAAACCTGCTTGTGAGTCCATAGCTTGCAGTACAAACGGCAGATGCGTAGACCATTTCGATATCCGGCGTAGTAAAGTTACATCAAATCAAATACATCCGCTCTAGTGCTTAGAAGACAAGCTGTTGAGAGACCGTTCTTGAAAGAAATGATTAGCAGAGAGCAGGGGTAGAGAGAGACGCCACGCTAAGCATACATATACTCCCACAAAAATCGGCGTATAAAACATAAAATATCATTAAATATATAAATAAAATGTGTGTGCAAAAACTAAATTTGTGAATCCCTGACATAAATACATTGAGACTAATACGCACAGTATCGACACCTGGAGATAGGCTCACATGCTGGATGCGTGTATGTGACACACACACGCACACGCCCTGCAGTTGCATATGCAGTTTTTGTTAGTGTTTTTATGATAAGACTCCGCGGGTGCAATAAAGATGGGGCATGCGTGTTCCTTGCCACATGGCCAGCTTTCTCCACCTCAGCTGCACATACACGTACGCACGGGCACACACGCGCTACTTCTTTTATATTATATATATAATAATATAGTATATATATTAATAGGCCTATACTCCGTCCCAGCAGAAGCTGCATGAAGTAAAAAAAACGCCCGACACAATATTTCGCCGCACAGCCGCCGCCACTATCATTCACAGTCCCGCGAACATATGTCTGCTCACACAAACCCCTACCGGATGTCGGCCATTACTCGCCATGATCACGTGGTACGCGCAGACGCAATCTAACTAACCGCACACACGTGCATGGTGATCACGTGACGTGAATCCCGCTATGACATTCTGCATGCTCTCACTGTGGATAGCTGGTTGCTGGGAGGTGAAGCGGAGGGTTAGGGGAGTGGACTCTTTCAATTACGACGTTACACATTACAAAGTCTGCGGTTTAATGTGTGCCGATAATTTTATTATCGTCAGAAATAATATGAGTTAATTGCGTTTTATAGGCGGTAGATGGTTTATTTGTCCTTTTCCACATGGGTCGGCCGCGGAGATGCGATAGTGAAGAAGGGAGATGTGGTGGGGATGAAAAATATCAAATATCAAATATCATGTGTGAAAAACAAATGCGACTTAAAATGCAAGTTATTGGCAAGATGCCAACAGTGTATAACCATAGAAATAATATAGATATACTACATTATTATATTAAGGTTATCTATATTATTTCTATGGGTATATATCAGAAGTAGATAATAGGGAATAATATAGATTCCCTATTATCTACTTCTGATATATATGTATATATACTTAATAGTAACACTAGGATGCAGCACGGTGACGTCACATGATGACGTTATTGTTGTATACAAGTGATTGTACTACATTCCTATCGGATAGATCTCTATAGTAAGGAGCAGGAAGAGACGAGAAAGATAGGGGGAGAGCAAGAAAAGAGATATATAGAGATAAGGGGAAATAAATTGAAAGGTAAGAATGAGCGAAAGAAAGCGGGAGAGGGAGAGCGGCTGGGCTAGAATACCTTAATTGCTCGCATTTTTGATCTGGTTTATTGCTTCATGTGTGTACCTGTTTAACGTACACAGATATTGTGGCGGTACTAAATGTGTACTAAACGAGAAAATGGTTTACGCCTGCTTGCTAGCTTAGTCAGGAAATAATGTGTCTCGTGACCTCTGAACCTCGGTCATAACTATCGTCAAATTTAGAAAGGATCTCATTACAGATACGCGGGTGCTGAAAGCGGTTAAAATGGGGCGCGGAATAAATAGATTTACCCATCTCTTGTCCCATCGTCTCTCTCTCTCCCTCTCTCTCTCTCTCTCTCTCTCTCTCTCTCTCTCTCTCTCTCTCTCTCTCTCTCTCTCTCTCTC